CACCACACGGGCAGTGTGTAGGGGGAGAGTGCAAGGGGGCGGCAGCATTTGGGGTTGAGGTTGTGAGGCTTTCGGATGATGGTGTGACAGCAGACTGGGCACGGGTTCGGATGGGTTGGCAGAGACAGCAAGGGCCATAGATGTGAAGAGTAACGGTATGAGAACAGTACAGGTAATGTGGTGGCAGCTCAGTGGGGGTGGCAGGCGGCAGTGTGGGGTGCGGGGGTCGCGGGAGGGTGGTGTGTGATGGGGGGTGGCAGTGTGTGGTGCGGGGATGGTAGGGTGCTCTGCGGGGGTGGCAGGAGGGTGGTGTGCAGTGAAGGGGTGGTAGGGAGCAGTGTGAGGTTCGGGGGTGGCAGGAGGGTGGTGTGCAGTGAGGGGGTGGTAGGGAGCAGTGTGAGGTTCGGGGGTGGCAGGAGGGTGGTGTGCAGTGAGGGGGTGGTAGGGAGCAGTGTGAGGTTCGGGGGTGGCAGGAGGGCGGTGTGCAGTGAGGGGGTGGTAGGGAGCAGTGTGGGGTGCGGGGATGGCAGGAGGGCGGTGTGCAGTGAGGGGGTGGTAGGGAGCAGTGTGAGGTGCGGGGGTGGCAGGAGGGTGGTGTGCAGTGAAGGGGTGGTAGGGAGCAGTGTGGGGTGCGGGGATGGCAGGAGGGCGGTGTGCAGTGAGGGGGTGGTAGGGAGCAGTGTGAGGTTCGGGGGTGGCAGGAGGGTGGTGTGCGGTGAAAGGGGTGGTAGGGAGCAGTGTGAGGTGCGGGGGTGGCAGGAGGGTGGTGTGCAGTGAGGGGGTGGTAGGGAGCAGTGTGAGGTTCGGGGGTGGCAGGAGGGTGGTGTGCGGTGAAAGGGGTGGTAGGGAGCAGTGTGAGGTGCGGGGGTGGCAGGAGGGTGGTGTGCAGTGAGGGGGTGGTAGGGAGCAGTGTGAGGTTCGGGGGTGGCAGGAGGGTGGTGTGCAGTGAGGGGGTGGTAGGGAGCAGTGTGAGGTTCGGGGGTGGCAGGAGGGTGGTGTGCGGTGAGGGGGTGGCAGGCGGCAGGGTGCGGTGCAGGGATGGTAGGGTGCGGTGCAGGGGTGGCCGGGGGCAGTGTGGGGTGCGGTGATGGCAGGAGGGCGGTGTGCAGTGAGGGGGTGGTTGGGGGCAGTGTGGGGTTTGGGGGTCACAGGAGGGCAGTGTGGGGATGGTAGGGGGCAGTGGGGAGGGTGCGCAGGTGGCAGAAAGGCAGTGTGTAGTGCATAGGGTTGCCAACTTCCTAATCGCGCAAAACCAAACGCCCCTGCCCCGCCCCTTCCCTGAGGCCCTGATCCCACTCACTCCATCCCTCCTCCCTCCATCACTCACTCTCCCCCAACTTCACTCACTTTCACGGGGCTGGGACAAGGGGTGTGGGCTCTTGGGGTGGGGCCAGGGCTGAGTGGTGTGGGGTGCAGGAGGGGGCTCAGGGTTGGGACAGGTGGTTGGGGTGCGGGAGGGGGTGCAGGGTGCATGCTCTAGTCAGGTGGCGCTTACCTCAAGTGGCTGCGGGTCAGCGGCGCAGCAGGGCTACGGCAGGCTCCCTGCCTGCCAGCTCCAGCTCTGCATGGCTCCTGGCAGAGGGGCCAGGGGGCTCTGCGCACTGCCCCACGCCCGCAGGCACCCCCGTCACAGCTCCCATTGCTCACGGTTCCCAGCCAAAGGGAGCTGCAGGCGCTGAGCTAAGGGGCGGGGGCATCGTGCGGCGCTTCTCTGATTGCCGGCCACTTAGGGGCCGCAGAGACGTGCCAGCTGCTTCCGGGAGCTGCGCGGAGCCAGGCAGGGAGCCTGTCTTAGCCCCACTTTGCCGCCAACCAGACTTTTAACGGCGCGGTCAACAGTGCCCACAGGAGCTGCCACGACCCTTTTTGACTGGGTATTCCGGTTGAAAACTGGACGCCTGGCAACCCTAGCGGTACGGGGGTGGCAGGAGGGCAGTGTAGTCACTGAGAGGAAATCCATTGCTTAGCAGACCTTGCTTTGGGCCCAGGTGACTTTCCTGGGCAGCCTGACACAGCTGTCTCTGCAGGCTCCCACCCCATAGGCGCTAGCGGACGTTGAGCTCAGAGAGCTGGAAGCTATTTCCTATTGAGTGGTTCAGGTGTTTTCTCTCTCTTCGGCTCCACCTGGTGCTCTGCTCCGACACGCTGCACATGGCCCCGCTCACTCCAAGCAAGCTCCCCGAGTCTCCCCTGTTGGCTGGAGATGTGAGGGGAGCCCGCACCCATGCGGGCCAGCAGGGAGCTGTAAACAGTGAGTCTATTGCAGGACACATAACATGGAGCAGGAGGAGCAGTTCAAAGGCCAAGGATGATCTAATGTCATTCCTTCCCCATTCCTGGCCTGGCTGGAGAGTACTCTCAGCTCCATGCCCTTCAAATCCTCTTGGAAATCCAACCTTCTCTCTCTCTCAGGCTCCCTCATGCTTTTCTAAAATCCATGTGTCAGTTTCTCCTCTTCTTTCAAAACCATCAGGAAATCCCATCCAAGCTGTGGGCCCATTTAGAAAGAATCATCCTGGGCAGCCACCTATGGCATCGTACCTAGGTCAGCAGTACAGCCCCCCACATCCCCCAGTTATGGAATGGGACTGATGTATTTTTGCTTATGTATTTTTCCTTTTCATTAATTCCTGGTCACATTAGTTATAGCAGACCCTCTGGGTAATACAGAGGTTGAGAGATTATTATGTGGTTGCAACATGAGACAATTCATTCTCATGTATCTGATCTGTCTGTCTGTCTCTTCTAGACATTCTCTAATTGTCTAAAAATACCCTTTCCGCTTTTAGGCTTTTACTTAGGATCTAAAGAGTAATGATGTATTTTCTCTCTCTTTTGCTCTCTTTCTCATCCCCTTCCCTCCCCCCCCGCTTTTTATTTTTATTTTTTATTTTTATTTTTTGAGTGGAAAACATTTAATAAATGCCTGGAAGCAGAAATATTGCAGACTTGGGTGACTCAAGGCGCCTTATTATAAAGGTGGTTGCGTGTTTGGGGAAATTGTCAAAATCCCAAACAATAGAGTAAAAAGAAAAGGAGGAGTTGTGGCACCTTAGAGACTAACCAATTTATTTGAGCATAAGCTTTCGTGAGCTACAGCTCACTTCATTAGATGCATTCAATGAAGTGAGCTGTAGCTCATGAAAGCTTATGCTCAAATAAATTGGTTAGTCTCTAAGGTACCACAAGTCCTCCTTTTCTTTTTGCGAATACAGACTAACATGGCTGCTACTCTGAAACAATAGAGTGTGATGTATGTCTCTATTTATACCCTTTTTCTCAATGGTTCGAGGAAGGTGCTTTTACTACAGTGTTGTGTTAAATACCAAATCTGCTGAAGCCATTCCTGTCCCCTCCAAGGGGTGATTTCAGGCTTTAAGGTGTAGCCCTTAAAGTTAGTCTTCTCACGTGGGCCAGGCAGCTGCGGTCGGGCACTTTTGGAGATTTGAAGGGGGTGAAGTAGTGCTGCTTTAAGTACTGGGGATTTGTCAGATCAGAGCTGGCTGGGGCGGGAAAGCCAAGAGAGCTGTTAGGTATATAGGGGACACTGCTCAGAAGTCTGGGGTCCAAAATGTAGGTCTTCTAATACCTTGGGAAAGGAATTGCAAAAGCTAATAGAAGCAGATTTTAAAAAACAATTACAGTGAAGTCAGAGTTTCATTATTGCCATATCTCTTAGAAACCTGAATGGAGGCTGGAACACCTGGGTGCCAGGTGCTGTACGTAGTGGGAGACAGCCCCTGCCCCAAAGAGCTAATGGTCTAAGTAGAGGAGACCGACAAAGGAGGAGAGGGGCAACAGAGGTGAAGCAACTTAAGGTTACGCAGCCGGTGGGAGGGACTCCTGTCTCTACAACCCGGGTTTCCTGAGACCCAGTTACAGAGCTGAACCACTAGACCGGGTGCTGGTTTTGTTTTAAGCGTTCCCCTGCGGTATTAGCAACTCAGCTCCAGCAGCCTGGGGCTAGCGCGTGAGAACCAGGCAGTGAAACTGACCTGCTCTGTCTCTCTGTCCTAAGCCGAGTGAACAGCAAAAAGTGAACAATCATCAGGAATAGATTCTAAGGAAGTTAGATTTTTTAAAAAATGATTTCACCTTTACTAATCTAGGGCCAATCATGCTGTCTGATCCATGAGGATCATTATTGGTTCTGAGGCTTATATTGTAGTATCAGTCCTCTGAGGCGGTAGCAACCGCAGTGAGTTCTTGTCATGTTAATGGCAGTGCATAGGTATTAATAATTTCCATTAGATGCACTCCCTAAAGTGCTTTTACAAACTCTTCTGGTTGTACCTACTAGGGTACCTAGTCCTGCAATTCTTACTCTTGTGAGTAATCCTTACTCAAGCAAGTAGCACCACTCACTTCAGCTGGACTGCTCATATGAGTCAGGAGTGTGTGAGTACAGCATGCATGATGGCCCCTGGGTGCTTTTTATTCAAGAGTCACTCTGCTCACCTTTGAAATGCAGTCAGTTCTGGGGTGGAGCATAAGAAATATTAAAAGTTGGAAGTAAAGAACAGTAGTACATCCTACTGAAACTTCAGGTCAAGTTAAGGGAGCCCAGATTTGTTGGAATTGGGTTTATCCCTGTCCTTCTGCAATAAAGTCCCAGGGGACCACATGGGCCCTTTTACATCTCAAAAGACTCCCTTTGTGGTCAGCGCTGTACAGATACATAAAGAGATACAGACCCTGCTGGAAGAAGTGTACAGTCTAAACAATCAAGACCAAATCATTATCCCCCATTATCCCACAGACGTGGGAACTGAAGCACAGAGTAAATGACTTTCTCAAGGACACATGGGAAGTCAGTGGCAGAGCTGGGAATTAAACCCAGGTCTCCTGAGTCCCATTGCATGCACAAGCCCCTACTTCATCCTTTCCAGATCTAATGACATTGACATTGATAATTGGGGCAGGGTAAGGACTAGGTGTTAGCTGATTTCCCTGAGCTTTCAGCGTTTACATGTTTGTTTCTTTTTAATAAAACTTTCCAGGCCTTCAGGGGAGCCCTGATGAGCTCATACTGGTGCTCAGGGAAAGGAGACGTTATCGAGGATTGGTGCCGATGTGACCTGAATGCCTTCGACGAGAATGGACTCCCAAACTGCAGTCCTCTCCCTCAGCCTGTGTATGTATCTCTTGGTGAATGACTTCTATGTTGTGGTGTGGTCAGCACATACTCAGTCCCCTTCTGGTTTGCTGAGTGGGGTTACGGTTTTGCCCACAGGTGCCTCCTGGCTCCTGCATTCAAACTCAGGTCCCCGGCCCAGTGCATCTTGCTGTGTGACTAAGGCCTTTCAGATATCCTGATGCTGCCTGTGGCCCTGGGAGGTTTCTTTGTTATTTTTCATCACCTTATTAGTACGGCTTGTAGAATGGGATTTAAAATGGTGAAAGAAATGGAATTACAATGCAGTTCATTGTGGCTTGTCAGAGCGAGAACAAATCAGGAGCAAACTGATGAGGAATTAGCTGAAACAGCAGGAAGAGAGACTGGCTTCAGCTCTCCACTAGGAAGAGAACATCGTTTTAGTAAGCCAATACCCTCAGATGGCATTGATTTCCCATCCTGAGCTCAGCAAATACACTGGTACTCTCAGAGCCTAGTTGTTAATAGCCCTGCACCTTGTGTTGTCATTGACTACAGTCCTAAGGGGGCGCAAAGTCGGCATGATTCTGACCTGGTGGCACTTTATGCTCTTCTTTGCACTGGTGTCAGTGATGGTGATGGTGTCCTGCCATGTGTGCAAGGGGCTGAGGTAGATGACTTCTCAAGAACCCTTCCAGTCCTACAATTCTATGATACAAGGCACATACCATGAAGAATCAGACCCCTCTCTCTCTCCTCACACATACACTCCCGTTCTCTCTCTCACACACACACGCTCTCTGACTCACACTTCGTACATATTCATCCCTCTCTTTCTTTTGCTTACACACATTTCTGAGACTCGCTCACAAGCCCTCTTGCACACACACACCCGTACACACTCTTGGACGTGCACACTCTTGCAGTCCTTCACTCCCATTCAGGCACAACCTGAGCTAGATTCTCTCTTCACTTATACCCCATCTGGGTATAAGCTGGGTAGCATGGAGACACACAGAGGGAAAGTTTGACCTTCTTGCTCTCCTCTTTCACTCTCTCGTGCTGCTTGATATCCATTCTCCATAGGGTCACTGAGCTGATCTGAGATTGCAGGGACGTAGTTATGAAGGTGTTAAATGAAAAGGTGGAGAGCCCTTCAGATGGGATGAGTTTAGCCACTCTCAGTCGGCAGTAGGTGCATAGCCCAGAGACACTGAATCAGGAGTCACGAGGCCAAGGTTCTTCAGGGAGCAGGTGGAGGAGGGAACAGCATACAGCAGGATCTGACTCCACCTGGCTGAAAGTTTCCTTTTTTGTTTTTTTTCTCCCTCCGCTTCCTATTGTCTCCGTGTTTCTTGTGTTCATGTGTTTGTGTCTGAATGTGCGAGAGAGCCCATAGGCATATGTTCAGAAGCTGCTTTAACAGGCTGCCTTTCCTCAGAGTGCAAGCTGATCTCCAGGAGTTCTGCTTTGTTTGTGCCCTGCCCAGGTTGCGCTTATCCCCCAGCGTAGAGCCCTCCAGCACCGTGGTCTCTCTGGAGTGGCTGGACGTCCAGCCTGCAATCGGGACAAAGGTCTCCGATTACATCCTTCAGCACAAGAAGGTTGATGAGTACACGGACACTGACCTCTACACAGGTAGGTGAGGACAAAGGGCAGCAGCTCCGGAAATGCCGCAGCAATGTTAACTGATTCTGTGCCCGAGATTGCTGGCCACAGCAATCCGAGCTCTGTCCTTGGGATTTTGTTGGCTTTGTGCAGAAGGGTACGGAACACAGACACCAGCTGGAGTGTAGTGTCAAAGCTCCTGTACCGGGAGTGGCTGCTGAAGGCCTCTGTAGATTCTGTTACTTGGAAAAATGAGAGAAAAGTGTTTGGTAACTACAAAGAAGTTATTTGCATTTCAAAAGTTTTGTAGCAACTGGGCAACCTACAAAACTGAGACCTCAGCTAGAGCTGTGCAAAGCTTCGCTAACAGCACCTGAAACTCACCTGGTTTTGGAGTTTAGCTATAAACACAGAACGTGGACCCAGTCCCCTGAGGCTCGTCAGTGTTTTGGCTGAGACTCAGAGCATGATTCAGGGGCCTGCAGGTCAAGGTGGAAGGATGTGAAACTTGTCGATGGGTCTGGATGAGTAATTAAAAATGATGTATTCTAAAACATAGCACCAAAGGTGTTGAAAGCTGCTGCTCAAGCTCTGCTCGGTGAGAAAACCAGGCAAAACTCGGTTCCTTATCTTGCAATTAATGGAGGATTTGGGGTTCATTTAACTATGAAAGTTCAAAGTTATGGTGCATGTGGGTTTTTCTCTCTCTCTCTCTCTACATTACAGGTTCTTTCTTTGGAACATTGTGTTGCAAATCTCACAGGCTAGGTGGTTTACATGTGGGCGGGGTTGCTTACATTTGTTTTTCCTGGTGCTATCTGTCTCCCCATCCCATGCTCATTGCCGTGCTGTCTGAGCGCCTCCTAGAGGCTACACATGTCAGCGCTAGCAGGGGCTAGGCTCCACCACTGTATGCATTACTAAACCATGCTCTGCAGAAGCCTGAGGAACGGGCCCGGCTGGTGGGCGTCACTCTGAAGTGCTACCAGACAGATTGAGCCTCTCCATGAGGCCTGCACAGATGTGCCCACAGCATCTGCGCTGGTGAGCGTAGCCCGCCAGAAGCCTGCTGGTTCTGAGACCGTTCCCTCACTACTGCTCTCTCTTTGGCACAGGCTCAGCGCCCTCCAGATACTCTTGTGACCGTGTAACACCTCGCTCCAGTCGCAGTCACTTTGACACACCTTTGTATCCAGATGGGTAGCACGGAGGTGTGTGTGCGCCAAGCCACAGGCTGGTGACTAGTAGAGGCTCCTCTTCAGAAAGGCTTTCCGTTGCTGTTGTTGCAGACTAAGCAGGAGCTGGCCATGCGCCTTTTCAGTGCAGGGCAGGGTGCTGGCACCCGCACCAGGGTGGGGCAGGGGGACATTAAAGTGCCTCTGGCTGGCAATGAGCAGAAGACTCCTGATCGTGACTGACGGAGGATGAGTCCTGGGAACCTGGGACTCTGAGTGTGTGATGATTCCGTCAGAGGCGCTATCTCACTGTGATCATTCATAACCAATTCCTTCTCTCAGCTCGGCAGGGGCAAGCCAGGGAAATGCAGGCGAGAGAAGAATTTGGCTATTAGTGGTGGGTGGATTTTTGTGGGTTTATTCACTCTGTAACTTTCTAAGTACCTATGGGCTAAATTCTCTTCTGGTGTAAACTGGAGCAACCAAGGAAGCTGCACCAAATTATACCAGCAGGGATTTTTGGTCCCATCTGTTCTTCCTGTCAGATTTCTCTCTCAGGTATTTATATGGCCCCCATTACTAAGCATCTGTGCTACAGAGGCTAGATTTTCGTTGTCAGGGGAAAGATCAGCGCATCCTTCTGAGGCCACTGATCATTTGCAGGGGCCTCCGCTATGGGCAGTCAGAATTGATGCCCCTCATTTGTTTACACCTCAGTCCCGGTCTCAAAGTAAGTTTCCCTCCCTCCCTGTCACTGACTTCCATTTCCAAAGCTATCCAATGCCGTTGCAATGCCTGGGTTACGGTTCCAGTTTCCAAGCATGGCAGGTTTGTTCTTTGCCTTGGAGGGGCACCCTCAGTATGCAAAAGGAAAGCAACACGGTAAAGGAAGCACTGTGTTTTGGATGGAGATTCCAGATTGTTCACACATTTGTCAGGTGAGGCCAGACAAGGGAAACATGGGGTTTCTTCTTTGATGTGGCTGGACCTCCGTGTGACAGCTGCAGCAGGAAATACAGATTATTATTATTATTTTCTTTTCTTTTTGCCATGTGTTAGACGTGCAAAGAAAATCACTCCCGAGAGCCGCATGCCCCTCACTCTGAACACACAAAAACAGAAACAACGAACAGACATTAAAAAATAAATAAATAAAGAGCAAACCCCAAAATTCTCTCTTCTGTCAGTTGTTTGTATCCAAATGTTCCCTCCTTTCTCAAGCCTGTGGAGCTACTAATTTTAGATGCCTTGATTTTTGGACGTCCAACTGGAGACACCAAGGGGCCTAATTTTTCCAAGGCGCTGAGCTCCGCTGGTTCCGTTGACTTCATTTGGATGTGTGGATGCCCAGCTACTCGGAGAACGAGCCCCTGGGTGCCTCCAGTTGAGTATCTCTCTCTTTCTCTTGCTTTCTCATACTGCTGCCCGTCACCAGTCTCTGTGTGACTTTTGCATAAAATCAATAGCAAAAACCTAAAAACAGGAGCCCCCTGGAAAAGCTATGCTTCCGTTTTGGGGCAAGTTGAGGTTTTTCACTCTTCTTCTCTCAGTAGGGCAGCTGGCCATGCCCCCTCCCACAGAGAGACAGCAGGGTCATTCTGGCAGCACAGCCATACCATCCAAAAACCAGCTATGGTCTTGATGCTGCTGGAGTTTATTCCTGAGATCTCCAGGTCTTAAGAGTGGGAAGATAATCCGTATTTTTTAAAGAAAAATTAGAGTTATAACCTCCTAATATTGTGATTCCTGGCAATGCCCTCTGCTAGCACTGTGCCAACCCACCCTCTGGCTGCATGGCAGGATTTGCTCCTGTATGGCATCTGGCCCTCTGCCTGTCCCCCAAAGGCTCCAGCATCTAATCTCGACAAAACCCTTGGCCTCCTATTCTGCTGGCAAGTGGAAGAAGCCCTTTTCCTGAGCCAAAAATAATTTTATCCTCTTCTTCATCCAGGAGCAGGGTCAGGAGCCAGCTCTGCTTTTTCTTTGTCTCGGTGTGCAGGACAGAGGTGCTGGGGAGCGAGGGTGAGAGAAATGAAGGCCTCTCAGGGAATACCTGCCCACCCAACTCCCTGGCTAAATACACTTTTAAAGGCTTATTACTGGTGCTTAGAAAAACACAGCCCTCAAAACCTTGGATGTTACCAGGACTGTTCTCAAGGTGAATTTGTGTGCGAAGCAAACCATACTTTCAACACCGTGCAATGGCGAGAGAGTGGCTCTCCACTCAGCAGCCAGAAAAGAAGAAGGAAGAATCGCATCCCAAACTGTTCCTTAAAGTTTGTGGAAATTACTCACAACTCCATGTGCGTGACAACTTGGCAGATGAGGGATGCTCTTTGTTCGAACATGAGCTGTTCGAAGGGGGAGAGCGCGCGAGTGAGCGCGCACACTGGCGGGGCTGCTAGCAGATTATGTCATAGACAAAGCAGGCTCTGCACTTGAAAAAAAGAGAGAGAAAATGTGTTTTACAGAGTGAGGTACAAACCAAAATGTCTGTGAACATCTGGAACTAATATTAGGTTTGGAAAATGTTTTCTGTGACTTCAAAACTCCTCTGGAGGAAGGAGTGTAAAGTTAAGAACCTCCGAAGTGGGAAGAAGAGCAGAGCAGCAAGAACCCTGTGCTACGTACTTTTCATTTCTTTATTCTGGTTCCACTTCAGTCCAAATCCCCATCTGGTTCAGACTAGGGTTCCAGGTTATTATTATCGTTCATTGTTATTACAGTAGTTCATAGAGGCCACAACTGATATGGGGGTCTCATTGTGCCAGGTGCTGTACATAATGAGGGACAGTCCCTGCCCCAAATGACTTGCAGTCCAACTAGGCAAGGCAGACAAAGGATGGGTGGAAAGGAAGGACTGTTGTCTCCCTTTTAGAGATGGAGAATTGAGGTTCTGAGAGATAACAGCTGGGATTGCCATGCCCAGCTCTAATGGAAAGTCAATGGAACATAGGGACGTAGGAATGGAGGACTGGAGTCTCTTGAGTCCTCAAATCTAGTCCCCTGTTATTGCAGGCAATTCTGTCATGTAATCTTGTTCAGAAATGTATCACGCTCCATTTTAAAAGTAGATAGGCTCTTTGCCCCCTCCTACTCCTGATGGGAGGCTGTTACAGAGCCTCACTTCTCTGTTGGTTAGATGTCCCCTTCTGATCTCCATCCTCAATATATTCAAGTTCAGGTGTACCCCCATCGGTTTCTGTGCCATTAGATGTGGTCTCCCTGAGCTGCTTTAGAAGATCCCATGCATAATGATGTCCCCCGGGTCCCACAGCAGCCTGTGGCAGAACCAGGCGCTCCAGAGTTTCAGTCCAGGACAAGACCATCCTTCTTCCCAATCCCTGTATACGATGTAACTTGTGGTAGTGCCTGGACACCTCAGTCTGGATCAGCGCCCTGTTTATACTAGACACTGGGCAAGCCCTTGGGAACAGCATTTCCTCCCACCCCACCCCCCCAAGTTTACAGTCTAAGAAGGGGTGAATGGTGCAATTGCCCCCATGAACAGGGGCCAGTGCAGGTCCATGTACCAGTTAAGTCCCACCTAAGCCCTCAATCTAGGGGAGACGTGGGTGCTTAGGCCGTTTGCAGGTCCTCTCCACAGAGGTGAATTTCACCGTGAAGAAGGTTCTTCTCACTCCCCCTACCACAGTTCAGAGATGCAGGGACAGGAGACCAGTGGGGTAGCTTGGGTTTGTAAATGGCCCTAGTGCTGGTGGATGGGGTCAGGCTGGCCGCCCTGGAGAGTGACGTGAGCCCTCTGATTCTCTGCACAACAGGTGTGGCACGGGCAGTGGTGAGGTATCCTTGCCACTTATCCCAAACAGGGCAACCCCTTCAATGGACGAGGGA